CAGTGACGCGATGTTTAAGTGTTTCAGGCATTTTTCAGACATGTTGCAAGTCTATGTTTCAAGTGTTTCAATTGTTTTATATGTATGTTTCAAGTGTTTTATATGGATATTGCAAAAATATATCGGGATGTTGCATATGTTGCAGTGGCTGCACACGTATGTTGCAAGGGTCTGTTCCCAATGTTTCATCTGTTTTTTTCAAATATATGTTTCAAGTGTGCTTATCTAGATGTTGCATATGTTTTACACATATGTTGCAAGTGTTTTATCTTGATGTTGCGTATGTTTGCAATGATTTTCAAGTGTTTTCAGGCGTTTTTGCAAGTGTTTCAGACATATGTTGCAAGTGTTTCATCTGCTTCTGGCTTATGTTGCATGTGTTTCATCTAGACGTTGTAAAAATAGATCGAGATGTTGCACATGTTGCAAGTAGGCGAGGGAAGCAGGCGCAGGCAAGGGCGGTCCCCATGGAGCGGCGCAAAGCGCAGCAGGCCAGTAGCCGCGGGCGTCCGTCCGAATGTCCGGGCGCTAGCAGTTCTGTTAATTTAGGGCAGGGCCCTGTGCTGAACCATCCAAATTTGTGTCCGAGCCTAAACACAGCGCGTTTGGTTTGGCACACAGAGTCAACTCGTCCATCACCAGATGATTCCCTACAGCAGCATGAACACTGCTCACAGCGTTGTCATTTTTATGAACACGGCCTCCCTAATGATCCAACACAGTGTTCCCTTATAAATGTACTGGGAGATGGTAATGGGCCACATCCCTAATGATCTATCAATTTTTTGGACTCTTTGTCGTTGGTTCTGCTTCAAAGAATGTGATTCCTAAAAAAAAGATCTTAGACCCTTTAGGATGCCGTGTTCAAGCACAGGCAGACGACCAATTCACCTCGTAATGACAAGGTTTGCTCAAAAGAAACTCATAATGACAAGGTATATCTTTTTTTTTTACAAAATGAGGTTGTATATATTATATTACCGCTGGGAGTAGGGTGTTGAGACCCTGAAGGGACTTCTTCAAACTCAACATAGATTTATCTGTTAAAAAGGCCACTAGATACCTAGCTGCGGGATTAGACGGGAAATTGACACAGATGCATATGTGATGGATTCGTCAAGAAATTAAGCACAGATCCAACTGATACTTGAGCATCGTTCAGTAAGTTCCTACCTAAAAACAGCGATGACCATTTGAGAAATAGATCGATAGCTAACCTGGTAGACGGAGGGCACGTGCGAAGGCGGCTAACTAGCTGCTGCTATCCAAGAAGGAAACGTTGGCTCGCGTTGGTCGTTGAAGCAGCTCGCGCGGCCAGTGGAAGGAAAGAAGTATTTGGTCTCCTTAGCTATCTGAAGATGAACAGGCCCGAGTGTTTAATAAGGTACAGCTCACTCGAGAAGAAACCGTATTAAAGAGGGCGGTGCAAGTTGACCCAGGCATCCATTGACTTCATAAAAGCAGGTATAGAAGAAATGGTATAGGCACATTATTATAAACTAGATAGTTTAGGCTACTCTCAGCGGATGTTTCATGTTCTAGATTCTAATATACCTATATTTTGAAGAATCTGTCTATCCAACAACTATATGTTTTATGCAGTTTCAATACATCTTCAGACAATCACAAAATCACAGATCCATAGATCAAACAATTTTTGTTTATGGAATGACAAATCACAAATCTTGTTGACGCGTTCCGAAGTAGCCGTTCTGATGCAGCACTGTGCGACACGACCTGTACTCCAGAGCAGCCGTTCTGATGCAGCACTGTGAGTCACTGCCGAGTCACTCCCGAGGCCGCAGTAGCGTGGTGTCCACGCCCTGCAGCTCCGACAGGATGGCGTGGCAGTACCTGAGGGGCGAGCTCGCCAGAGCCGGTGATCACCGGTGAAAAAAGAGAAAGAAAATCTATGTGTTTTTTTTTTTTTAAAACACATGTGTATTGTATAGCATTTCTGTATTTTGAAAACAATGTAGAAGAGCTTCATTTCTATGAAACCTTTATAATGATCTCTCTTCATCAAAATAGTGTTATATTAGTGTATTTAGTACCTATAAAATTATATGAAACTTCCATTGAGACTGACATAGACATTAAATAAGCTGATATGGCGTAGTTTAAATGAAGAGAGATAAAAATAGTTTAATGGGAGCCCTCGCAGGCTTATTAGCATCTGAAAATGACCATCATTTTCGTCCCTGCTTATTTGACAACAATATCCCGTGTGATACGTGTCACCACCGGCGGCGGCCGTTCAGATTGCACGAACTGCTCGTCCGCAGAGTGCATATAAGGTTTGCAGGGATGACAAAGTGAGGCGAAAAACCCAGAGCACTGTTCAGAGTAGCAGCAGTGGAGGTGATGACCAGCTGTGCCAGAAAATTTGGAAATTAAACTGTCCAAACAAAGTCAAGCACTTCATGTGGCGAGTTGCCATCCGCTGAGAGCAAACTTGATCCGAGAGGCATGCGAATTGATCCTAGGTGCCCGGTCTGTGGACGGTTTGATGAAGATGGAGGGAATCTTTTTTTCAAATGCAAGACAGTCAGACGAGTCTGGGGTCACCTACAGCTGGAAAATGAGAGAGTTTCGCTGGCGTCAATGGAGTCGGCAAGGAGTGCTGTGAGTTTCATCTCCAAGGTCCAAGCACAAACTGAGAGGAGACTTACAATGGTCTTCCTTCTCTGGGCCTGGTGGTCAGAACGAAACAATGTCAGAGAGGGAGGGAACCGTCGTTTGGCTTCCGGTATTGCTCAGTTCATTAGACTGTGTGGCTGAATCACTGAACAAGCAGGCAGCGGCATCTGCGGCTGTTACAAGGCGCAAGGAACGTTGGGCCAAACCTCCTGTTGGCAAACTGAAGCTGAACTGCGACGCATCCTTTATCCCGGGTGCGGCCACGGGAAGCTGGGGATTTGTCATAAGGGACAGCGATGGAGACGTTGTCTCAGCAGGTAGAGGAAAGGTGGAGCACCTACTTGGGGCCTTCCAAGCTGAACTTATATCATGTCTGCGTGGAGTTCAGGAAGCCATCAGGTTGGGGATCGTTGACATGGTGCTGGAAACGGACGTGTCGATAGAATATCGTCGGCAGTCCTTCGAGGGGTATCCACGAAGGTAGATTGATCGGCAGAGAGGCGTGTAATCAAGAATAAGAAGGCAACAGAGACACACGAGTTAGACAGGTTTAGACCGTCAGTATGACGTACTACCCTACTCCTGTGGTCTGTTGGATTGTATTAGCTATCGTATGATATGACATGCGTTTATAGGGGGTCCCTACCCACCTTATATAGTCCGGAGGCAGGGTTACAAGTCGGTTAGATCTGAGAGATAACAAGAAAGTAATAATAGATTATAGGAATCATGGGATTATACGTATCCTAACAGATCTCGTAGTATCTTCAGAATATCTTTTCGGTGTCTTGCGAGAGACGCCGAGCAGCGTCGTGCCCTGCAAGGCTTCGTCTTGTGGGCTGGGCTGCCCCTGGGGGCTCAGCCCATGTGGTCCGCTATGAGTATCTGGGATCGTACCCCACAGGATGCTAGTGCTGTTGGTGGGCTGCTCGCTGAACTTAAATTTATGGTGCATGTGAACTTCAATAGTTTCAGGTGTGTCTCGGTGCCTAGAGACTGTAATAGGGTGGCACATGCCACTGCCGCTAGTGGGTACGAGTGTGTCGAGGGATTTGGGGAAATTCTAAACTCTCCCAGAACACATCAATGTAATTGTTGACGAGTTGTCAGCCGATGAGTAATATATCTAACCAACTCATATGGAAACCTCTGGTACTAGGTCTGCCCTTTTCTCACTGAACACATCAATAAAAATATTTTACCAGCAATAAAAAGAAGGGCAAATCAATTGAATGCAGGAACTGTACTATTCTGTGGCCGATCCAGGCATCCAGCGTTGGCAGCTACGTACTGCCTTCCAAGGCGTAAAAGTACCGCCTGCTGCGCTGCCAAACATTGCAGCCCAAAAGTATATATACAGTACACGAGAACTGCACGGACGACATGGGATGCGTAGGTTCAGACTTTTTTTATATACGTATCTTACGCTCAGACTTCAGACACCGTTAACAGTTGCGCAGAGCGGAAGGAACTCAGAACTGTGTATATCATGCACGTCGACTCGAGACCGTATACACTTCACTGTAAATTAACTGCAGAGAAAAACAAGTTCCCCTCCCAATCAGTTAAAGCAACGGCCAACAGGACTAAGAGAACATCCATTCCATGGTGGTACTTCGATCTAGTAAGTGTGCCAATCATACAGCAGTACAGCACAGTAAAACTGCAGAGAGAATTATCCATAAGGGAGGACAGAGGATATCAGCATCAGTAGTTTCGTAAGGAGAGAGAGGTGGTAAATTACAGAGGATAAGATACATGTCATCCAACATGGTACAAGGCGAGGGACAACTTCATTTTCGTACCACAAAGCACAATAGGGCTGATAGATGGTAGCAGGCGCAGGAGGCTCGAATTCTTTCAGAGTATCTCTCTCAAAGATAGCTGGAGCAAGCAATCCTGTGTAACTCTGGCTCTCCATTCCACAATATGTCAATGATGATGACCGTATAAATAGACAGAGGAAACACTAAATCTAAGAGCTAATAAGGAATTACCACACATACGCCTATTATAACATGCTATAGCTACTTAACCTTTTTTCACAGCATTAAAGGGCTAAAGAGTGGACAAACAATGTGACACATGGCGGAACTGCAACTCCCAGTAAAATCGACAAATGTTATAAAACCGAGGGAGTAACACACGAGGAGATAGCTAAACTGACAGTTACAGACTTACATGTACCAGCCGGGATGCTTGCTATCGCTTATGGTGCCCTTTCATGGCAGCATTAATGCAAAGGCCCAAATGCTATTGGGCCAAGGGGAGGTTATGGCACCATAAATGTGGATGCTCCACACGCATTGCCAGCAAGGGCAGATGCATCATCACACTGAACTCTATGCTTTCTGGTTGCTCTATTGTGAGGGTTTCCAGTCATATTGAATGTTACTGAAGCTGTTTGCTGATCTAAATCCACCCAACAGCTGGTTTCCTATGTCATGCTGCTGCTGCTGCTGCTGCTGCTGGTGTAACTGACCCAATTGCGATAGGTCATGCGCACCCTGATTCATTCCCATCCTTGCACCCATTGCCATCGCATTGTTTGTCATTGCCGTTCTCATCCCATGACCGAACCCACTCATGGCGCCAAATCCCATTCCTCCCATCCCTGAGTTATTCGTGACAGCATTGCCAACTAAGCAATTAACCCCATTGACACCATGGGTTAGTCCATTTGGTGTCTTCATATCATTGCCCGAGTGGCCAACACCATTCATCTGTGATGACATCAAATCTTGCAAGATCTTCTGAACCGAGCTTTGCGAGTCACTTGGCTCAGCCTCCTGAGGTCGAGTAGCAGGTGGCTGCATCGGAGGTATGCTTGATGATGTAGTTGGGGAGCTTAGTTGATTTGTATTTTGAGGAGCAGGCATCATGCTGTTATTGGATGTTGTCGGTGCTGGGGAAGGGAAAGAGGTAGATGGATTTGACTGTAGTGAGCTTGTAGAGATAACCTTCGGAATAGCCACATTGCCTCCATTATATGGGCCACCATTAGTGCTGCTCATTGGATGATCTTGTCTAGAATTCATTGAATTTTGCAAGAGCCCAACAACTGACGGTGAAGGTGCAGATGTAGAAGGTGCACAACTGAGAGAATTATTTGATGTCACATCACCATTGGCAGAGGCAGAAGGCTGCACAGCAGCCATAGGAGCAGAATTTTGACCACTCTGGTTTGAACTCTGGGGAATGGCCTGCTGCTCCTCAGTTTGCTGCTGCTGTGGTTGAAGGGTGCTGACCCCTGAAGGAGTCCTCCGAGGAAAATTATGCAGGCTATCTGAATAAACAGAAACAGTGTTAAAAAAAAACAGGAAAGCATACCATACAGCTAGAAACTACTACTTCCGTCCTAAATGATAGGTCATTTTGATATTTTTAGACAAACTTTTGCTATGCACCTAGATATATGCTATTAACATACATAGTAAAGAGCAAAGGCCATAATGTGGCAACTTACTGGTTCAGATGGGGTCAGGAAAGTTTGAAATCACTGACATTGAATCCCAGTTCTAAATTGTAAGTGGTGACCAGACCAATAAAATGCACTTTGATTTTGCTAATTGACAAGTTATGGTGATTAAGCACATAATACACAGGTTGCTGATACAACCACATTGTTTAGTCAACTCGCCTAATGTTAGATTATCAGATTATATGCCAAAATATGGATCAACTAGGAGAACCTTGCAACAACTTTTGGATACAGGCATGTGGATCCAGGTTGTTGCAAAAGGAATCTTGCAAGGAACGCAGCTACAAACCAAACTGGCACCTAACATGGTCAAACCCTCCTAATTTGAGTTTCAGCAATTCATTACTATCCAAAGCAGCACCGATGACGATAAAAAAAACACAGCACCAAAAAATTTAATAGAAGTATTGTGAAAGATGAGAATAATGAGATTACAACAACAACAACAACAACAACAACAAAGCCTTTAAGTCCCAAACAAGTTGGGGTAGGCTAGAGTTGAAACCCAACAGAAACAATCAAGGTTCAGGCACGTGAATAGCTGTCTTCCAAGCATTCCTATCTAAGGCTAAGTCTTTGGGTATATTCCATCCTTTCAAGTCTCCTTTTATTGCCTCTACCCAAGTCAACTTCGGTCTTCCTCTCCTCTCTTCACGTTACTATCCCGACTTAGGATTCCACTACGCACGCACCGGTGTATCTGAAGGTCTCCGTTGCACATGTCCAAACCATCTCAACCGTGTTGGACAAGCTTTTCTTCAATTGGCGCTACCCCTAATCTCTCACGTATATCATCGTTCGAACTCGATCCCTTCTTGTATGCCCGCAAATCCAACGCAACATACGCATTTCGCGACACTTAGTCCGTTGAATATGTCGCCTTTTCAGAGGCCAACATTCTCGCACCATACAACATAGCAGGTCTAATCGCCGTCCTATAAAACTTGCCTTTTAGCTTCAGGGTACCCTTTTGTCACATAGGACACCAGACGCTTGCCGCCACTTCATCCACCACCCGCTTTGATTCTATGGCTAACATCTTCATCAATATCTCCGCCTCTCTCAGTAGCATTGATCCTAAATATCGAAAGGTATCCATCCTAGGCACTACTTGACCTTCCAAACTAACATCTTCCTCCTCCCGAGTAGTAGTGCCAAGTCACATCTCATATACTCAGCTTTTAGTTCTACTAAGTCTAAAACCTTTGGACTCCAAAGTCTCCCGCCATAACTCCAGCTTACGATTCACTCCTGTCCGGCTTTCATCAACTAGCACTACATCGTCTGCATGAAAAGCATACACCAAGGATGTCCCTTGTATGTCCCTTGTGACCTCATCCATCACTAAAACAAACAAATAAGGGCTCAAAGCTGACCCTTGATGTAGTCCTATCCTAATCGGAAGTCATCCGTGTCTCCATCACTTGTTCGAACTCTAGTCACAACATTGTTGTACATGTCCTTAATGAGCCCGACGTGCCTTCGTTGGGACTTTATGTTTGTCCAAAGCCCACCACATAACATTCCTTGGTATTTTATCATAAGCCTTCTCCAAGTCAATAAAAACCATGTGTAGGTCCTTCTTCTTCTCCCTATACCGCTCCCATAACTTGTCTTATTAAGAAAATGGCTTCCATGGTTGACCTTCCGGCATGAAACCAAATTGGTTCATAGAGACCAGCGTTATTGCTCTCAAGCGATGCTCGATGACTCTCTCCCATAGCTTCATAGTATGGCTCATCAACTTAATTCCCTGATGAATTTGTACAACTTTGAATATCCCTTTATTCTTGTAGATCGATACCAATATACTTCTCCACTCATCGTGCATCTTGTTTGATCGAAAAATATGGTTGAACAACTTGGTCAACCATACTACAAACTATGTCCCCCCGAGGCATCTCCACACCTCGATTGGGATACCATCCGGTCCCATCGCCTTACCTCCTTTCATCCTTTTCAACGCCTCTCGACCTCGATTCTTGGATTCTCCGCACAAAGCGCCTATTGATGTCATCAAAAGAGTCATCCAACCGAAAGGTTGTGTCCATATTCTCACCATTGAACAATTTGTCAAAATACTCTTGCCATCGATGTCGGATCTCATCCTCCTTTACCAAGAGATGCTCCCTTTCATCCTTAATGCACTTAACTTGGTTGAAGTCCCGTGTCTTTCTCTCACTTAACCCTAGCCATCCTATAAATGTCCTTCTCTCCTTTCTTCAGACTCAAATGTTGGTAAAGATCCTCAGACGCTCTACCCTTTGCCACACTTACATACTCGCTTTTGCGCCTTCTTTGCCACCTTGTACTTCTCTATGTTGTCCACACTCCTCGTCATGGTACAAGCGCCTATAGCATTCTTTCTTCTCCTTAATAGCCCTTTGGACTTCCTCGCTCCACCACCAAGTGTCTTTAGCCTCGCGTCCCCTTCCTTTGGTTACTCCACACACCTCTCGAGGCTACCTTCCGAATGTTGGTTGCCATCTTGTCCCACATATTGTTTATGTCGTCTTCTTCCTTCCAAGAGCCCTCTTTGATAACCCTTTCCCTAAATACCTCGACGTCTCCCCTTTCGGTTTCCACCACTTTGTTCTTTCAATCTTAGCTTGTTTATCCCTCACGGCACGCACTTTTGGCAAAATCGCCACCAAAAGCTTATGTTGAGAAACAACACACTCCCCGTATCACCTTGCAATCCAAGCATGCTCGTTTGTCATTTCTTCTTGCGAGGACAAAGTCAATCAGCTCTGAAGTGTTGTCCGCCATCAAGGTCACTAGATGAGATTCTCTCTTTCTAAAGAAAGTGTTGGCTATCATCGGTCAAAAGCTACCGCCAAGTCCGAACTTCCTCCCTCCCCGATTCCTACTACCATACCCAAAACCTCCATGAACGCCTTCAAAACTCAAGGCTTATAGTACCTACATGCCCATTAAGATCTCCTCCTATAAAAAGCTTCTCACTACTAGGTATAGCTCTAACTGTGCCATCTAAGTCTTCCCAGAATCTGTCTCTTAGCACTCTCGTCGAGGCCTACTTGGGGGCATACGCACTAATTACGCTCAAGACCATATCATCAACGACAAGCTTGACTAAGATAATCCTATCTCCTTGCCTTCTCACTCCCACCACACCATTCTTGAGGCTCTTATCAATCAAAACTCCTACTCCATTTCTATTCGCTGACCGTCCCCTGTACCAAAGCTTGAAACCCAGATTGTCCACCTCCCTCGCCTTTCCTTGACCCTTCCATTTAGTCTCTTGAACGCATAATATTTTTACACGCCTCCTAGTCAGCGGTATCAACTAATTCTCTTAACTTACCCGTAAGTGACCCTACATTCCAACTACCTAAACGGATCCTAGTTGGTTCGACTAGCTTCCTTACCTTTCGCACCTCGACGACTCGATGCGAAGACCCTTGCTCATTTTTCACTTCACTACCGAAAGCTGCCGATGTAGCGCGCCACTAAGGAAGCGACGACCCGATCCTTGGTTACTTGACACCATGCCCAGATCACGACACGGCGCGTCACGGGGGTGACGACCCGGCCCTTGCCCATTTAACACCATACCCGGGTTCCGATATGGCGCGTCGCTAAGAGGGTTACGCCCCAACGATTTTCTTTCGGGTTTCATCTCCATTTAAGTGGCTAAGTTTTTACATTGGCTCGCCACGCCTAACACAACCCTCCTCCTTTACCAGGGCTTGGGACCTGCTATGATGGGACCTGCTATGATGAGAATAATGAGATTGTCCTCACAAAAAAAAAAATCAAAATATCATACCAATGGGTCCAGATCCAGTCTGCCTGCTGTGATCAATCAAATCCTTCATACAATTTACGACCTCAGCAATCTGGAAGAACCAGCATTAAGATGGCAAGAATAAAAGTCAGCATCCTAAAATGAGCTCAATAAGATCAAATAAGTTAACAGACATTAAAATAGAAGAAAACGGAAATCAACATATGCAACAACAATTTATCAGAATCATCATATGGACCAAATTAGAAATTTTGCATACAACGCAATATTAACTTCAATTGGATAATCTAAGAACAAGCACAAATAAAAACTGTTCTAGATAAGATTACCTGAAGGCAGCGAACATATCGTTTTGTGTACCCTAAATCATTTACTAAAGGAACCTCCAATGCTTTGGCCAATTGTCGGGCACATGCAACAAACCTAAAGCACAAGATTAGGTTAAGAGAATTTGTACTAACTCGAAAAGTTCAAAAACAGTGATGACTTGGTGCAAGTAAAAATTCAGCAAGAAATGTATGCAGTTCATGAGCTACACTAAGAAGCACGGATACCTCTACCCAGATAAGACACAAGTTATGATTGTTGAAGCAAAAGATAAATGTGCCCAAATCAAATCATAATCAATTCAAAGCAGGATATCCATAGTGCATATAAGCCAAATATTGTAACAAATGTTTATCAGCATACAGTAACTTCTTTTCTGTTGCATGTAATTACTAGTACCTCCGTCCCAAATAAAAAACTTGATATTCTAGGTTTGTCATAAGTCAAACTATCTTAAGTTTAACCAAGTTTATAGAGAAGATTGTCAGCATTTATGACACCAAATAGTCATTCTATGCCAACAGACTAATAAGGGCTGTGGTAATCAGTAATCACTTTCTGGTGCGCGTCAATATGGTACCAACTTGACCATGGAAGTCGACAATCATAAGAGTTATCGATGACACTGGTGAGCCCTTTGATCTTGGGTTGGGTTGAGACTCTCAAGAGTGCCTCGTCCTTTCTGAAGTACACGGTATATTACCCTAATGAAGAGTGAGACTATTCTTGGAGATACTCTTACAGCATAAAGTGGTGTGATGCCCAATTGAAAGCCAATGCCCCATTAATGCTTGGAAGGGTTGCACACTTTCAGCACACATGCATTTACATACCTGGGCATTGGGTGGGTTGCTGACAGCCACCTAGGTATTGATTTCTAAATTCTGGACAGCTACCCTTCATATCACAGTATCTCTAGAGCTACTTGACATTTCAAATGCTTTGCTAGTACCATAATAGTCTAGAACCACTACGAATGTTCCGTGCTAACTCCAGAAACAAAGATATTAGTATGATAATACCTGGGAATTGGGCTATCAAAGTTTTCACAACAATGATAATACTATTCTGTTCCAGAAGCTGGTTTAATGTTGACATACGTAAATTTGATCTTACACATCAAAATTGACTATATTATAATACTCAAAGATGAACTTATAATTCTGGGTGCGGGAATAACAATCACCAACACCCACCACAATGACAAATTGCCTCACTAGCCCATTTGCTTCATGTCCTTGTGTTCCAATGAGAAGGTAGAAGTTGAAGGTCTGAACACCCATAACCTCTATCACTAATCTATCCAACAATCAGGCTGAATACAATCTGAATCAATTGTTGTGTAAGCTAATGCATCTGGAAGTCTAGAAGTATGTCCACCCTTAAATCAACTTCTTCACCAGGGTAGATACTAAGTTTGAGAACCAAGATATGGATGTTCAAAATGGTGGAAAACAATTTGATCGTAGCAAAGAAGCGATGATGGAATGGAGTATGTAGCACGGCAAGGGCCAATCTACTTACGAGTTGCAATTATTCTGCATGTCCTGAGCAGACAAACTCGTTGAGTTTTGTGCGGCAGCCTGGTACTTTTGTACAACCGCACCAAGGTTACTAACCTACATATAAAGATCAGGACGCCAAAGTCTGTGAAAACCCTTGTTACCAAAATCCAAAATTATGAATAAACTATGACCTGAGCTGTCTATATTCTTGAAATACATCTTACCTGTGGTATTATAGATCTCCGTGGAATAAGTTCTTCATGACGCCTAGCACAAAACTCCCAAGATGCTATCTTTAATAAAAAGAAGATAGGAAAGAATGTGCTTTAGCATCAAAGGTACTAATTTGAAATAATATTAAAAAAACTAGAAAGCTGAACCACAATACCTTAAGGTCTGGATTAAAAACTATCCTTAGATGCCCTCTCTTTAACACGCAATTGTTCAAAGACACTTTCTTGGATTGCTTTCGTGTAGTCCAAAATAATCTGGCCTGACGTATTCTGGGACTCACGAGGCATGTCGATGTACAAAAGTTCTTCCAGTGTACCACTGGCGTATTTAATTTGGCATAATCGCGGTAGTACCTCAACCGTTGTTTCTGTCAAAAGCAATACAGGATCAAAATAAAGCACGAGAGAATTAAGAGACAGCTTTGCTGAAGATTATGAAGCTTACCAAAACCACGGCCAGGTTTCCGATTACAAATCTCACAGTGCCATACATCCTGAAAGATAAGAACTGTATGAAAAAAACTAAAATAACTTCAAAGGCAAAGCTTTCAGATGCTAGACCATTCCCAAGTTCAATAATGAAGATTCAACATTTAAAAATAAAAATAAAAAACCAAAGATTCGATGGGAACAGGCACACTAGACCTGAGGGAAAACTCCAGTAGTTTGACGACCACTTCCATAAAGCGAGACACACCACCTCTTTTTAGAATTTGGAGCAAAATACTCATTGACAAAGTTTCTCCAGTACTCAATATTGTTATCCTGAATCAGAACAACAGGTGAGATATACTATGTTGTTAGTACCTGGCTTTCGCTTGGAACACTAAATTACTCCTTCAAACAAGCCACAAAAAAAACTTACTTGTGGTCTGTTTTGTTGATGATACATGTAATGAGTCAATCTCTTTGCACAGGTTCCTGGCTCATAAGGAGGCGACTTTCCTGGAGTTCTCATGTTTAGACTTTGTTGACGAAGTAGCTGCTGCTGTTGCTGCTGTTGTTGATGCTGCTGTTGCTGTTGCTGCAACTGGTTTCTCTGCAAAGGCAAGTTCTTAAGAATCTGTTGTTGCTGCTGCTGCTGATGCTGCTGTTGCATATGCAGGATCCGTTGCTGCTGCAAGAGGGTCAGTTGAGCAGCTGCAGCAGCTTGAGGGTTTGCAATTGTGTTTGGTCCACCCATTGATACAAGGTCTGGACAATTTCGAATCTGCTTTGTCAGCTGCAACAAATGACGTTGTTGTTGCTGCTGCTGCTGTTGCTGCTGCTGCAAGAATGCTGATGAATCTGAAGTCTGTTGCTCCATCTTGACTGAACTTAAACTCCTCATCATCTGGGCTTGCAGCTGTTGTGGCTCAAGTTTCACACTAGCACTTCGCATCATCTGGGCAGGATCATTCTGGTCAGGTTGCCCCATCTGCTGCTCTGACTTGATGCTAACCATGCTTCCTCCATTCTCCAACTTCACGGCAGCCTGTGGCTGCTGGAGCTGCTGTGAATGTTGTGGTGGCAACTGTTGCTGGTTGTAAGACATTGGTAGCTGCTGCTGCTGCTGCTGCTGCATATCCTGCACTGCATCCATCTGCTGCTGCTGCTGCGAAGTCACCTGCAGATTATCTGACCCCATCTGATTGCCCAAATTGACCTGTGAGGAAGACGGGAACGACAGAGGATCCGACCCTCCCGCGCCAATGAAATCGCCAGCACCATCCAGCCCAGCTCTCTGCTGGAGCGTACTCATCTGCATCCCACCACCCTGCATCGACCCTGGACCCGGCGGCATAGGGCCACCGTTCCCGAACGGCGGCCGGTTCAGCAGCGAGGAGACATTCGAGGCGCCTCCAAGCAGACCATTGCCACCAAACTGCGTGCGCGGGGAGACAAGGGAGGAGAAGGGCGACTGTGAAGAAAGCATGCCACCACCACCACCACCTCCGCCGCCCATCATCCCCGGCTGGCCACCGCCACTGAGCAGGGAAGAGTTCGTCCGGAACAGCGACGCCGCCGCGCCGCCCACCGGCTGCCCGGGCCCCATCGGGTTCGGCGGGCCCGACGGCATCATCTTCCTCGTCGTCGTCCACCACTCGCACCAACCACTAGGAGATCGTACTCACCTGGCCATCGTCTCACCCCCAGCACGCCCGCGAGATCCGCGGGAATCTAGCAGGGACGGGGGAGGAGCATGCCCTGCGAACAGAGTAGAGATTGCAAGTTAGCGACGCAACGCAAGTGTGGGATCTACGCCATTACACCCCCACCGCGCAAATCTGCTAAGGTAGAACACGCCCGTCCCGCACCGCTCCCCGGAATCGAGCGCTGCCAGCTGGGAACGGCGGCACGACACGAAGCAGAGAGAGCGGAGTTGCCCTCCCCAAATCCACCCCGCAACAAAAGCAGAGCGACACCCGCGAAATCCATCCACCCTTGAACTCGCCCCGAACACCCGAGAGCAACCAAATTGCAGCCACCCCGAGCGCACCAGCACCCCCCGAGAGGGCAAATTAAGCGGAATTAAGCGGCAGCCCCCCGCCTCCCTACCACGCCGTCGTCCTCAACAGAAACACCACGCGACAGAACGCCGCCGCCGCAGCAGCAGCAGCTCCACTGCTAACACTAACACACTCACCTCCGCGGGCGCCGTCCGCAGCACGGGCCCGTCTCCCCGTCGCACCGGAGCTCGAATCAGTCGAATCGAGCGGCGCGCGCACCTGGCCGAGACAGACGAGGAGAGCCGCGGAGCGCCCGCCTTAGCAACAGGGCACCAACACCATCGGCCACCACCACCCGCAGCCAAAAGAATCCGTTGGGCTGGTTTTGTTATCTCGCGATGGGATTTGGTTTGGTGGGGAGCAGGAAGCGAAGAGGGGGGGAGAGAAGCCCAAGCGCTCGCAGGCAGCGAGAAAGAGGAGAGAGAGAGATGAGGCGGGAGAAAACGCAGCGACTTTTTTGTCCCTCCCTGCGGACGTCAGAATTCCATTGGATTTGATTAAGAGCGGCGGCCGCCGCACCAGCGGGGCACCCGCCTCCCGCGGCTGACGCGTGGGGCAGGCGGCTGAGCGTGGAGGCGAGACGGGGGGCGTGGTAGAGGGTTCGATTAGGAGAGGCTGGGTTTCTTTTTCGTTTGCTGCTCGGGTGGTTGTTTATATATTCCTGTGTGCCGGGGCCGCAAAAGGAAGTCAGAAAGGATGCAGAGCAGCCGGCCCCGAAGCTGCTGGTATGGCAATTGGCCATGGCATGGTTTGGTAGGGTGTCCAGCAGGAGCAGGAGTCCTCTGCTTCCGCGACAAGAGGCCGGAACGGCGGCCTCCGGGTCTACTTGTTTGTTCCAAGTGGTGTGTATTTTTTACGGGGGGTTTTATGCTACTTGTGGTAGACTTCTTCTGGTGTACCACATGTTTGTTGGACGAGACTTGCAACGAGGGCGTTCTTTTCTTTTCTTTTTGTTTTTTGCGAATTGGGTGTTCTTTTTTTACACAAGAGGCAACTTACTCGAGCCTTGTATATTTGGTTATTACTAGGGAGTGGTTTTGATTATAATTGGCGTCAAAAAAAATTCTCGCATCTAAGAGCCGGATACGGATCAATATCTTGTATTCATATCTTGTATTTCTTTCTCGGATCTAAGAGCCGGATACGTCGGATATTGATATCTATATCTCACGTTCATATTAGAAATCCGGTTTTTGAGTATATATAGAATGAATGCAAACGGGGTTATCCAATGAGTCTGGTTATATCTCACGAAAATCTAAACGATATGGCAAGTATATACGATAGAAGGATAGGTCGGCACAATAGAGGATAGATGGTCTGACGTGAGAGCAAGGTTGTGTAGTGTGGCCAAGGTCAAACCGACAAATAAGCGGATAGGTGGGCACATAGCTAGGTCTCAACGAGGTTGCAGCGTTATGGAAGCCAGGAAGCACGGTGACATGTAGATATGGAAAGCTTACAAAGTAGCTATGAGTTGAGCAGTGTTAATTGTTAGATTGGACATACATTACAAACTAGCGGCAACATGTGGCTCCTCAACTTATTTTTTTGGTTTTACGTTTTTATATATGCTAGTAATATTGCTCTGTTTGTACATTCAAATCCTTGGTTACTCTATCCCACGCACATATTACCCCATGGTTGAAGATAATATATGTAAGTTTCAAAGTCAGATCGGTGGATTTCAATCCGAAGGAGAATTTTTGTTTGGTCGCATGTGTATTTTGAGGAGTGAAAATATCGCAGCAACTCATGATCCATTATTAAGTTTGGCTTTACTTAGGGACGAGCAAAGGTTAAGCTTGGAGGAGTTTGTTGACGGTAGTTATCATCCATCATAAACCGTCAACATAACTTGAATAAATGCATAAAAAGAATCACCAACATAGACTTAGGGGTTTAAACTGACAATTTAAACGAGTTCTGGAGAATCTGTATTTTTAGCAGGGTTATTCCAGAAAATCGGCAAGGGATCAAAACGTCAAATAAAATCGCGCTTATCCGCGGCGAAAACAACTCCAGAAGGTTCCAGAGACCACCAGAAGGCATCCCGAGGCGCACCCTAGGGATGATAGCCACCCCACCTGTGGCCGCCTGCCCCCAGAGCCCTCATGTCACCGTCACACACTCGTCTTTCTCTACCACCTCCTAGATTACATCTATGCCATTTATTCAAGTCGGTTTGATCCGAGGGCTCTGGATTGATGCTTCGGCCTATATAACTAGCCGTTGTCCCCCTCCAGAGCACGCTACTACGAGTCAAGATCAGACCAAAAATTAGAGTTTTCAAAAAGAAGAGAATAGAGCTCCAATTCTTCAAAGTTCTAGTATAGGCTAGCTAGCAAGGTTCAAAGTAGAGTGTGGGCTATTGCTTAGGATTTTGGATCTGCCATCTAAAGACTGGTAAAGCATTGTATCTTTTTATTTATGACTTTGTGCTACTTTAATATTATGTTGCTATTTATTATGTTCCAAGTTTACTCTAGTTATATGTTTGATATAGCTGTGATTGATGATGAGTTTATGCGTATGTTTGCAAAGCGCTTAGCCCAAGACACGCGTGGGTTA